CTTGCAGATAAATTCCATAGAATTTGGATCCAATTCCCATCCCACCACAACTCTCAGGAAAACCCCAACCTTTCTGCAGTAAGGCTGTGAAAGAATTAAGTTTAGAAAAGAACTTTTCCAAAGGTTTGTGCCATATAAATAACAGGAATTCTTTCACTGATCCCATCTCCCACATCTGATTTTTCTTAGGTTCAGTCTCATCTCAAAGACAGACTTCAGAAATTCATCAGTGATCACAGGACAGCAGTGCCAAACCACTAGAAAAGTGCTTACACCTCTGCTTTGGGGAGGAAAAGCTGCCAGTTTGTCCTTGGAAAACTCCTTCCTACTATTTTCATCACAATCAGAAAAAGATTAAATGTCATCAACATACTTAAATATTTTTTTTAATTACAACTGCAGGTTAAAATTTATGACAGGTGGGTTTTTTAACGCCTGGAACTCCTCAGGTAGATCTTGGGGGTTTGCCACCCTGCAGGAGTACTTTTCAAGCCAGCTTTTTTCCAGATGCGCTCCAAATCTTTCTCAAATTTTATCTAAAACAGGGATAAAAAATAAAAATTAACACAGCTTAGAAGCAACAGCCACTGCCTACGTGTCCCAAGGACAGTGTAGCTATAACACACACAAAGAAAACAAAGTTTTTAAGTGTCAAAATATTGAATTTTACTGCAGAAAATACATCAGAAGACATTAAAATGCACAAGGATTTTGGTATCATTTTAAAAGTCCTGTGCAAGGAAAGCTGAGAAGGTGGACAATGAAATGGTAAGGAAAATAAGAAGATTTTACAGAGTTTACTGAAAATCTGAAGCAGTGGAATTACAATTAACTCCAATTTGCATCTGGGCAAAGTGAGAATTTCTAGAGAGTTAACTAAACTATATCCCATGAAAGGCAGTGCTGAACGAGAATATCCCAGCTTGAACAAGCCCCCATGTCTTCCCTCACCTCTTCTATTAAAGGAAGTAAAAGGCTTCTATATAAAAAAATAAAATAAAAAACACTTGAGGACGGTGGCAAGACAGCGAAGAAACAAAGATTAAAGCAGTCTCCCTGATCCAAGGTAGACACGATTTCATCCTTCACACAAATGCTAAAATTCATCGCCATTATCCACACATATTTGTAAATTCCTGTCATGGAAGAAAAGTTATGCCCAGCAATTACCACTTTTATCTTTGGAATCACAGATTCACTGAGGCTGGGAAAGATCTGAGATCATTGAGTCCAGCTGTGACTGATGTCCACCCTGTCACCCTGCACTGAATGCCACGTCCAGGCATTCCTTGGACTCCTCCAGGGATGGGGACTCCAAACCTCCCAGGGCAGTTCCAACGCCTGACCACCCTTTCCATGGAGAAATTTCTGCTGGTTTCCTATCTGACCCTCCCCTGGTGCAGCTTGAGGGTAAATGCTGAATTCATTCAGGCTTATTTTTCCCCAAATCCATTAAATCCATCATCCAACACCTGAACAGAGGCTAGTTTGATGTGTGGGCACATTTCTGTCAGGGAACTCTCCCTCCCCTGAGCTCACCTGACGCTTCTTCTTGCGCCCCTCCTTTATCCTCCTGCGGATGAACTTCCTCCTCTTGAGCAGCTTCTTGTACTTGTGCCTGTTCATTTTCCTCCTGCGGATCTTCAGGACATTTCTGCACTGCACTTTGTCACCCAGGGCTCCCTCTCCTTCGCCAACATCCCCAGTCCCAGCAGGAGGGGGACACTCGGAAGGCTGTGGGTTTTCATGGCTCACTTCTTCCTGAGCCCTCTCAGCTTTGGGGAGGGAGTACCTCACTGTCAGCCAGCTCTCCAAGGGGCTGATGGAGAGTTTCCTAGGAATCAGGATCTCCTCTAGCTCAGGGTCCAGCATGTGCCACTGGTGGGGCTGGGCCCCACTTGTATTAGGGGGCTGGGTGCTGTAGCGTGCAGACGGAGAGCGGCAGCAGAGGAAGGAGGACACTGACCTGGGCAAGAGGTGGCCTTTGGGAGAAAGGGGTTGCACTTAAAAGGTAGAATTTTCCAGCAGGAGCACAAGTAAAGCTCTGCCCAGCTCTCAAAACGCCAGACAGCTCTGGCTAGATCAGGCTAATAAAAGGAAACCCTCACAGAAGTTGTATCGTCATTACAAAAGCAAGGAAGAAATTTCGATTTTTATTTCTAACAATGTTGTCATCTTAAAAATATATTATTCTTTAACGGGTAAGCTGCCCAGGTCACCCAGGCAGAGCAGGGTGGAAGTTCCCCTTCACTGGGAGGTGTCCCTGCCCATGGAAGGGGGTTGGAATTCCATGGCCTTTAAGGTCCCTTCCAACCCAAACTTCTCCATGACTCCATTAAATAGAATGTTTTGCATTTTCTGATGGAAAATCAATTTAGAATGGTAAAGAAGTGTTTGCTGTATCAAACCTCTCTGCTGCTAAGGAATCTTCTCCTAAGGGTAAAAAAGGTTAAACCAAAGCCACACCACACTTATACAGTAAATCAGAGACATGCAAACATTTGACAACCACTAACTCAACAACAGCCTTCTCTCTCCTGCACTGCTTGGTGGAAAAGAAACTTCTGGGAGCCAAATTACCCCAGGAAAATAAACCCAAACAAACAGAAAACTTGGTCACACAACACCAATTTACCTGCAATTCTCGAAGCCTTCAGTAACTGTGAACTCAGCCGTGATATTAACATTTTGCTTCACTTTGTTCACTGGCAGAGCCAGCAATGACTGTTCAAATAAGAACATTTATTCAGTAATGCAAACATGCAGCTTTGAGAAACCTTCCCTATTCAACCAACCCCACGTCCCAAAAAGACGGGCTGAGACCCTATATATCCTCATGGTTTTAACCTCAGTCTGTCGGGCTCTGCTGTGGGGGTCAAGCACCGGGACACCTGAGCCACGGAGGCGATTTATTCATAAAGCTTGGGCTGTTTTAACTTTAAAAACACGATAACTCCAGCCGAGCTTCCTGGCACAGCCCTGTTCCTCCCTAAGGCCGGGAGAAGCAGCCGCGCGGCTTAAGAACGGGCCGTTACCAATGGGCCGTCTTCTTACCCTCAGCCCTCCCGGCACTACCGGCACTGCCCGCCCGGGCAGGGCCCGCGCGGAGCCCCCGGGCCACCGCTCTCGCCCTCCCCTTACGGCCCTACCACCACCGCCGCCATCACCCACCGGCCCCGCCGCCACCGGAACTTCCGGCCGGCCGCAGCGACCCCTGGCGGCGCGGGGCGGGTAACGGTCACTCACGGCCCCTCAGGATCCTTCACGTACCGGTCTCGCTCCCTCGCGAGCCTTCATAGTCCCTCACGGCCCCTCAGGATCCTTCGAAGTGCCGGTCTCACTCCCTTACGGGCCTTCATGGTCCCCCATGGCCCCTTAGGGTCCCTCAATGTGCCAGTCTCGGCCCCTCACGGTCCTTCATGGGCATTCGTGGTTCCTTCACGACTCCTCATGATTCCTCAAAGTGCCTGTGTCAGTCCCTCATGGACCTTCACAGTCTATCACGGCCCCTCGTGGCACCTTTGTGGTGCTTCATGATCCCTTGTGATGACTCAAAATCCTTCCTCGTCCTTCTTAGCTCCTCACAGTCCTTCACAGTCCCTCACCATCACTTGTGGTCCTTCATGGTTACTCACACCCTCTCATGGTCTTTCATTATCTCACATGGCCCCTCAGGTTCCTTCCTGGCTGCTTACAGTCCTGCATGGTGCCTCAAGGTCCTTCATGATCCCTCATGGTCACTCACAATCCTTCCTGGCCCTTCTCAGCCCCTCACTGTCCCTCCTGGTCCTTCATGGCTCCCTCACAGTTCTTCATGGTCCCTCACAGCCCATTTCAATGCTTGTCAACCTTCCCATGAAGAAATTTTTCTGAATATGCAATTGTGCATAAATGTGCAATTGTGGCTGTTTCCTCTCCTCCTGTCCCTGTTCTCTGGGAAAAATCCCAATCCCCCCGGCTGTCCCTTCCTCTCAGGGAGCTGTGCAGACCCAGAAGGTCCCCCCTGAGCCTCCTTTTGTCCAGGCTAAGCCCCTTTCCCAGCTCCCTCAGCTGCTTCTAGTCCTGCTCCAAACACTTCCCGAGCTTTGCTCGAAACTTTGGAGGTTAAATCCTTCAACCAGTTCAACCCAGGTGTGTTCCCCACCCACCAGTTTGCATGGAGACCTCAGCCACACGTGGAAAGTGAGTGGCTGGGATGTGTCCACCTGCTGAGTCACCTAAAACCAGTCCTGAGAAGGGAAACGTGGCACAAAGAGCCACATCGGGAGGAGTTTTGGGCATCAGAAGGAATTTCTTCATGGAAAGGGCTATTAAGTATGGGAACGTGGTGGAGTGCCCATCCCTGGAGGCGCCCAAGGAATGACTGGATGTGGCACTCAGTGCTCTGGGCTGGGTGATGAGGTGGGGGTCAGTCACCTGTTGGACTCAATGGGCTTTTCCAACCTAACCGATTCTGTGAAGGATCTTGTGATGCTGTGAAGGATTCTGTGAAGCTGTTACAGTGGGCCTGTCCCTGCTGATACAGGGATCATGGAGACACCTGTCACAGACACCTTTCCCTGCCACACCCTTGTCTGGATCCGGGGGCAGGTCCCGATGGCTGCTGTCCAGGGACAACCACACCTGTCCTCTCCCTTTACCTGGATGTTGTTTATCTTCTCTTGCTGGGCACAGGAACTCACCATCTTGGCAAAGCATGAAAGTACCTAATCAGCTGGCATGAGGGAGGGATGTTGAAGCCAATCCCAGACTTCAAAGAGCTTTTTGCTTTTATACCTACCTCAGACAGAACACAACAGATTTATTCACCAGCTGCTTTTAGTATTTCAGACCAGAACAAGGGTCTGTCTCTCTTTTAGGTGCACCCCACTGTGTCAAACCCAACTACCCTGAAAGTTTAGCATGGGTTAGTTTCTTCCTGAAAATTAGGACTAAAACTGCCTTGCCAGGAAAGAGAAACCTATGAGGAGAAATTAAATGAAGTAAACAGCTCAGTAAACAGACTGTTTAATCAAGACTTTATTGAAGACACTTCAGAAGTTTATGTACAAAACAAACTTCCCACCCCCATATCAGGCTGTTAGTCACCCACTGGGAACAAAGCAAGTGCCTGGTGTACACTGGCAACCTGGGGACACTCAGAGTTTGCCACAGAATTCACAGAACTACCAAACTGCCTTGGTTTAGAGCTGGGCAATTTCAGCCTTGGCTCAGTTAGAAACAAAGGAAATCAAAGGAGTTTTTTTTCTGGAGATAACTGAGCATACTAGAGCCTGACAGCCTACACTGGCCTTATTCTGAGGTCAGGTCATTCAATTCTGCAAAGAGCCAGAAGCCCACTTTGGGTTTGGAAGTGAAAAGGAACCACCAGCCCCTGGATATAATTTGCAGGTTTGAATCCATTTCAGAGGGTTCCAGAAGATGACCATCACCGAGAGCACCGTAGCGTTTGCAGGAAGCATTAGTGCAGAGCAGAGCAGAGCAATACCAAGTGAAAGACTCAGCCATTTGCTTTCCAAATACACCTACAGATAGGCTGCGTGTCAGACTGGCTATTTGAACAAGCGTGTCAAAAAACCCTAGAGACACAGACAAGAGTGGCAAGGTTAAATTGTGACTGATGAGCTGTTCCTGTAGAGTTCCGTGTACTTCTACCACGGCAGAGTTTCTCCTTGCCAGTCCAGGAAAGAACCATTTTCTTTTTCACCAAGACGGTCCAGAACAGAGAGAATACCTGGGATAGCCTCCTGCACCTGCATGGGAGCCTGGAACAAATCAAATTCAGGTCATTACTGGGAATATCCTGCAGAAGAGAATTAAATGTATTTAAGAAGGTTCTAGAATGAAGGAGGATGTGTTTCTGTGTGTCACAGCACACAGAGGTGTGCAACCAGAGGGTTGGGACAGCAAGGGAGCCCCACTGTCACATTTCCAGCACTGACACTCACCATGTTTCCACCCATGTCTGTTTGAAGCCAGCCCGGGTGCAAGGAAATGCAGAGAATTCCATCTGATTTCAAGTCTGCAGCGAGACACCGGGTGATCATATTCAGTGCAGTCTGCAGGAATGGAAACCACCTATTAATATGCTTAATATGTTTATGAGCCTTTATGAGCAAATTTATGAGCAAGACCTCAAGCCCAGCTGGTAGGCAACTCCCTTCCACCCTGTGGTCTCCTGGCACAGGAAGAGGCTCTCAGTAACTCATCCAGACTTTCTAGGAACTCTGAAAGTTCTCCCACCACAAACTTACTGCTGAAAGATGAAACTAAGTTGTAATGGAAGATAAAGTAGCATTTGAAACACCTCAGGAGCTGTGAGGAGAATAATATTGACATAAGGACTGTGTTTTTCTACACTAATCACTACACAAACATTCATTTACTTCTGAAGAGGGAAAACAAGCATTTAACAGCTTATGAGTAGGTGGTGTAGGAGAAACTGTATATGTGTGATCCTGACTATCTGTACAAACTCAATCTCTGGATGTGAGAAAACTAAAAATCCCACCTGTCACTAACTGACATCACCACATACAGGTCAGCACACCTTTTGATGAGTTTCCTGCCTGCTCTCTCACTTGGATGGGAGAGGAACACAGCTAATGGAACCCACACTCAATGGCATCAGCTCTTCGCTGAATGCCAAATCCCTTGGGAGTGGATCTGAATCAGAGCAGGGATTTGGGAGCCTGTTCTCCAGAAGTTGCTGCAGATGCAGTGTTCCACAGCTCCCACTTCCACCCACATAAATAACACTTTTTGTGTCCACAGAGGGGCTGGACACCTTCCTAAGGTCAGCTTGGTCTCCACATGCCCTCAGCCAGAGAGCACAGCCCACAGGAGCCCACAAACCTTTGCTATCCTGTAGGGATAGACCTTGAGGAACATCTCATTTGCCTGGACGAGCTGCATGGAGGCAGCAAGAGAGGACATGTTGATGATGGCAGCTCTGTGACAGCCCATTCCAGTGCCCAGCTGTGCTGCCTTCCTCAGCAGGGGGAGGAATGCCTGTGAAAACCAGAGATTGCTTTAATTTGGTGATTTGGGTTGGAATTGAGTCATTCCCTCATTCAAAGCAGGAATCCCAGCACAGCTCTGTGCCACCAGCACAACATGGTGATGGCTCCTCAGACCCAGTGGCCGGAGGAAACTTTCCTCCAGCAGCCTCTTCACCCACCTGCCATGCAGTGATTGCACAGCACGTGCACAAACAGCAACTCTGACTGCTCTACAGACAGGCAGGTCCACGTCAGAACTGTCTCTGTGCAGTTCCCAGGGGACAAATACCTGGACAAGTCCAGCTTCACTAATGGAAAAGCTCCAGATTAAGCCCATCCCTCCCAGTCCTTACTTTGGTGACCATCAGCTGGGCAACAGTGTTGGTTTCATAAATGGTGAGCATGGTCTCTGCTGTGACCTCCTCCAGCGAGGCAAGCACATTGATGCCAGCGTTGTTGATGAGGCAGTTCAGGCCTTTGTCTCCCACAATTTCTTCCACTTCCTTGACCACTTTCTTGATGCTGTTCTCACAGACCACATCTGCACAGAGCAGGCAGGAAGAGCCCCAGTGAACAGTGCAGGGTTCAGGGTGTGCCTTGCATGAGACAATCTGTGCCACACCAAAGCTGAGGCTCAGTGGGGACATTTGGGCAGCACACAGGTGAAAATGCACAGATTTTACATCACTCAGACTAGTTTTTTAAGGTGCACTCACCTAAGCTGAACAAATTCCTGTACATAGAAATAAAGCCCTTTACTCACCCAGTTGCAGGAGCTTGATGTTGCTGTATTGCTTGCTAAGCTGCTGCAGTTCCTAGGAAGAAGAATTTTTTTTTATTTTATATATCTATACATATACATAAAAATATATATATCTCCATGGCTATTACATAAATCACTTTGAATTCTGCACCTCCAAAATTGCAGCTGAAATATTTTCATTATTGGACTGAAGGCAGTGATTCTCCTTTGTTTTCCAACCTGCTGAGTGGCTTTCATAAGAGCCAGATCAAGAAATTAGACTCTTCCCCTACTTGGTCCAGATTCCAGTGTGCTGGATTTTTAGTGGCATATTTCTCAGTTTTAGTGCTCAGTTCTCAGCATTCCAGTAAAAATCCAGTGCCTCCACAATTCTGTAAGAAAAGCATAATTCTCCTGAAGCTCAGCTAGTGCTGGACATCACTTCAGGGCAACAGGAACGCTTTTAAAAAGCCATTTGGAATTCCTGTTTGCAGGAAAAGTTCCCCAGCAGTTTCCCCATGGGAATTCCATTTCCCCAGCAGCCTTGTTAGCGTCAGTTCTTGTAAGCAGAGGTGAAGCCCACCATGAAATCAGTCCCAGGCACAGCCACTGTCCAGGAGAACAATTTCCTCCCTGCTGGAACTCACCCATCTGCCTGTCAGCACAGCAGGCTGGTGTTCCTGCAGAAATCTGTGCTCTCCGGTGTTCCGGCTGCACAAAGTGTGTCCAAATTGAATTTATGGGCCCAGCTGGAATACTCAGGTTTCTGTGCCATGAAGCCAAGTGGGAAGTGGCCAAAGACAGCAGATGGATTCCATATTCCCAGTCATGTTCAGGAGACACAGCAACCTGGCCAAACATTCCCGCCCAAGCAAATCCCTTTCTTTAGGAGCCCTTTGGGAATAGGGGTCAGGAGGGCAGGTTTGGAAAGAATCCTTCTCTGCCCCTTGGAGACACTTTAGGGACTCTGTGTCCTCTGACAAACCATAATGGATCACATCTTTTATCTCACATCAGACTCTGCAGGATTCTCTCCAGGCTTGTTTGGGAGATTTGTTCTCCCACTGAGGCCAATCTACAACTGCAGTTAAGGCTATTAAGGGGAGGGGTAAGGAAAAACAAGTCAGAAGCACAAAACCAGAAGACATTCCTTGCTTTGGACAGGGCTTGGTGGGACAGATTTCCATAAATTAAAAGCCCAAAACACACTGTCTTGTTTCCTGATTATCCAGGATGAAATAGCTCTACCATGTCAAGGCCTGCAGTAATTCTGTGCCTCTGGACTGTCACTGGGTTTCAGTTTGACAGTATCACTTAGTGTATAATAATCTCCAGGAGCACTCTGGCTTCTCAAGGTTTGTCCATTTATTTATAGTTCATTTATTTATATTCTTTACTTTGCAAAGAAATGAGCTACCGGCTCCTGCTGAAAGGCCAGAGCTGCTTTGAGTAGCAACAGCAACTGAGAGGCTTCTGAAGTGAGTAAGCAATATATTCAGTTAAGAACTGAAGTGTTCTTCAGTACCACAGCATGAAATTACAATAGCTGCATGCAAATTAGGTTTAAAATTCAATGGGTTTTCCAGTTAATTACTTAGTTAACAAGTGACTCCCACTTCAGGGGTTTACATTTCTGAGAAGCAGCTCCCAGGCACAAAGCTGATCTGGACAGCTTTGGTCTTGAAGAATGTTACACCTGATATAAGCTGAAAAATCCAGTTAGAACATCTAAAACTTGCAGGAAAGCCTATTTCTCCCCTCCTGTGACTGGAAGGAACATGAGAGAAGGAGGACTGAGACAAGTAGGTACAGCCAACATATCCCAGCTAAGTAATTTTTAATTAGCGTGCTGTGACAGATAATTTAAAAACAAACAAGAAAAACAAAACCCAACAAAAAGCAACAACACAGCCCCCAACACTGTGTTTATTTAGCACAGTAGCTGTAGAACTGCTCTGCACCTGAACAATCACCCCTGAGAATCAGCTTGTAGGGAGTCCAAGACAAGAATGAAACTCTGGTTAGCATCTGTTGATTCCTGCTTGCTGTTTTTTAATTACGATTAACAAAGAGTCAGCGTATTCTGATTTAAACAAGATCCTCGGCACTCAGGGCTCCTGACACCGACTCGTCAGCACACAGGGTATTTATTGCTAGATTTCAACCAGGAATGTTTTGTTGTCTTTGTCATTTAGCAAGATTTACTTTGCCTTCTTTATGAAAGCATTATCCACTTCAGTTACAGCTCTTGGAAAGGGCCTGGCCCCACTCAGCCAGTTGGAAGCAATCAAGCCAAACAAACACAGCCTTCGGGCAAATTAAAGGTGCTTGGGAATCCTTCACCTCATCGTGCTTGCACTCGGGACAAAGCCAGAGGTGTATCCTATTTTTCTGTGTCCCTCTGAGACAGCTTTTCAGTATCACAGTGTACAGCCAGCTCACTGTTCAACCCTGGAACAGCTTCCAAAGCAGTGCCCTGACCCACAGCTCTCTCTTACTTCTGAAGAGCCAGACCTCACTGCTGTAGGAAGTGTAAAACACGTCCAGGAAAAAAAAATAAAAATCAAACAATACAACTCTGCAATAACCCAAAATTAGAAATACTTCAAGAATGCCCTCTCTGATATATATTCAGAAATGTCCCCTTTGCCTGATAGATCTGGTGCACATATCACTCAGCTGCTCTTTCCAGTTGCAAACCACATGGCTAAAATATGTGTTAAAGGGAAAAAAGAAGCCCTAAAGCTGACAGTGACAGTGAGCAGAGAGCTCCGTGTCTGACGAGGGAACAGGCACAGTTTGTAACAGAATCTCCTGCTTCAGAGCAAGGAAAACTGCACATTAAGCCCTGGAAGTTTCCCAGAGTTCTGTAGAAGAATCGAGCAGTGACGAATTTGTTCACCTGGGAATTCACTCGAGCTGTAGGAGATCAGGAGAAACAGGAGATGCTCCTGTGCAGATCCCACAGCTCTGGGCACCACAGATTTACTCACCCCGTGGCCATCGCCTCCTTCCCTCATCACACAGGGGTCTTCAGGGGCTGTACCATTTTTAAGCGCAGTCCTTTAGGGCAGAGTTTTTTCCCTTTTATGGGAAAGCAGGATGAGGGAAGAAGGAGCAAAGAAGAAAAAGCGGAGTGTGGGGAGAATTCCAGCTGGGTCCATGAGTCTGTGCTGGCTCCCTGGTAATGACTGCACTGGGGTTGTGCCCATCTGGAGAGCAAAGACGGGACATCAGGATTATTTCCCAGGAGATCTGTAGCTGCTCCCACTGTCAGCGCTGGAGCAGCCCAAGAAAAGGCAGATTGGAATCAAGAGCGTGGCTGGAGGAGTCTCCGATGGTGCTTTTTCAGGAGGGGCAGTGGTTATCTGGCTGCCTGCGGGCCTGCTGCACGTTATCGTGTGATCTGTAGCCCATTTGTTAGGCAAATGTTCTGGGGAGGCCACCTAGGAGCTCCTCAGCCCCAGAACTCGAGTTTTCACAACTTCTGCCAGCACAGACTCACATGCAAAAGCTTGCAGCTGTTCAGCATTACCCCAAGGTTAGGGAGTTAGAGGAGATGGGCTGCTTTTCCTGGTAAAGGGAGGAAAGCAAAGTCAGACTTCCCCAACATCTTTGGAAAGGCAGGTCTTTAGGGGCTCTTCTCTGGCCACTGTTTGGAGGGCTCAGAAATATTCAGTCATCACTCTGCTGAGAGATTCTTGCCCAGGGTGGAAGTGCATTTGCCAGCAGCTAAGTGTATGTAATCACTTGTCTTCTAAAAACTGGAACATTATTTTTAAAAGCCTTTTAATTTAAGCTCTGCCCAACTCCATTCTGCAATGGGAAAACGCTGCTCTGACAAACCAGAGAGCAGAATTTAAAGGAACTGTCCAAAGTTGCTGTTCTCCAGGTTCATCCTCTCATGCAAGAGAGGAAGTGGGGGACAATTCGCTTGTATTGAGGAGGATTTTTCATGTGGTCAACAAAAGGGAAAGAACAAAATTAGACCACCTGAATTGCTGTCAGGAAAAAAGCACTGAGCCAGGTGTGCAGAGAAAGAAAAACTCCCTCAACTTCACAGCCCAGTGTGCACAGCCAGTAAACAGGTCTGTGCCCTAAATTGCCCTAAGTTGAGCCTGCAATGCCAATCCCTGGAGAGCAGGAACATGAACTCTGGGTGTTCAAAATTTGACTGGAAATTCAGTGACAGCAAAGGTTCCTCTCTGAGAAAGAAAAAAAATTAAAAATTACAAGAAAATCACTGAACCTTGGCCTTTCCTACCACACTCAGTAGTAGTGCCAGGCTGAAGTAAAGCTTTGAGAGCAGCAGCTGAATTTGGTGCTGCCATGACCAAAATTCCCAGAGCTGGAGGCTGGAGCAGGTCTGTTCCTGCCCTCTGCCAGCCCCAAGGACCAGCAGCACAGTGGGAACACTCTCAGAGGGTCAGAAGGATTTGTACCAGCTCCATGCATTGCAGATGGGGCAGATAATGCTGGTGAAACCACTACAATACCTTTACTAAAGATTTCTCTTCCTTGTGGAGTTTCCAAACCCATCTGTTAGAAATCTGCTTTCAGCTGACTGCAGAGATTTCTATTGATGTCCTGCCAAAACACAGCACATGGCCTAGAGGTCCTTACAAAGAACAAAAACCCACCCTCATCCACCAAGGACAAAACCTGCCCCCTTAAAAAAGCTCAGGATGCACCCATGTGGCCAGCAGGATCACCACTGGGGTGGCTGGAATGTGGCTCCTGGCCAGCTTCCTGCCTACAGGAGACGACCTGCCAGAGGCTTTCCAGGTTTCTCCTGCCAGCGAGGAGTGACCCAGACTCTCGCCAGACACATTGCACTGCCTGAAGGCTGCTTCATCTTCCTGTGCAGGTTTACAGCCTTTTTGCTCCAGATTTTTAAATACTGACCACACAAAATAAAATTCCAAAACCACTGAGTTGTGCTGAGATTTGCCCGTGTACTGTTTCCTAGGGAGCTCTTCCTGTTGAAGGAACTATTTCACTTCTCCATGTAATGGATCTGAGACCATTATGATGAAAAATCATAGGGGCCAGTCTGTGAAAAAGGGAAAGAACCTCCCTCAGCACTGGCTGAAGCAGCTTTAGGACAAACAACGATGCAGGGAGATTTCGATCTAACACAGGTCAGATGTCTCTGCTGCTTTCCTGTGCCACTACTACACCAGGTTCTTGTGCAATCACTCGTAGGAAATAGCGCTGGGAGCGGTGCCAGCTCGGGTAACAGGAGTTAAAAGGGAACAGAATGGAGTGAATTTCTGCTCAGGTGGTGCCAGGAGCGTCTCGGGGGGAGCCGCAGGGAAGAGCAGCCCAGAAAGGGAGCTGTGCACCTGATCCCAGCCTTGCTGGGCTGTTTCTCTGCATTTTCATTCAGAAATACCCTAAATGTACCATTGTGATGGAGGTATTTTTTTTGGGGG